GGCCGCTGCTTGCCGCTGCCGCCGGGCGATGTCCTGGCCAGAGAGCGAGAGCGCGCGCGGTTGTCTTGCGTGAATGCTGTCGCGCGTGTAGAAGAAGGAGGCAACAATGAGGAAGGGCACCAGGAGCAGGAGCGCGGTGCCGAACCTCATGATGCGTGACGCTCAGAAGTTAGTTTTTTTGCGTACTCGAGTACCCCTTGCGCCATGAACAACCGCTCGAAACGCTCAAATTTGGGCGTTCCGCGCTTCGCTTCAGCAATACCCAATACCAAACAACTCTAACACTCACACGTCATGCTTGCCCAGGTGTGAACAACACCTCGTGACTACGGCGCCGCAGGCGCCTGTTGATGGGTCCAGGTGATAGCCCTGGATGGGCAATGCATACGCCTAGTTGGGCCTTAGATCGCCCGACCGCGTCCCGGTGCTCTGTGGTCGGATTTGTGACGCCGCCGCACCGCGCCGCGGCCGGGGGCCCTCCGGAGGCCGAGGATGGCCGTGATGGACCGGGACGAGCTCTGGGAGGTGGAGTGTCAGTGAGTATATTGTAGAGACAGACCGTGTGCACACTATCTCTCGCTCTAGCTAAGCCAGGGGAGGCGATGCCGGGGCCCGGGGCGTACAGCAGCTTGACGGTGCTCCGCCGGCGTGCGTCCCGGAGCGGTGCCGGACGGGCGGTCCGGGGGAGAAAACTCAGGACAACGCCGACACCGCTCTGATTCGACTTTTGACTTCAAACAAAGACAGTCGCACGCGCCACAGCACGGCGCGTGCGACTGTCAGGAGCGGATCCGTCAGTTAGTTGTGTTCACGGCGGGATCGTGTCCTGAGTAACCTGGGCAACCATTCAGGGCGACGAGTATTCACGACGGCCCCAGCTTCGGCTGAGGGCTGACAAGCTGCCGAGCCCAAATCACTGTGAGAGTCGTGATTTCTTGTTGGTTTTCTAAAATCTCCCCCCCTTTCACGAGGCGACCCCAGGGAACCGTGGGCTGTGAACAAACAGCGAACCGAAGGTTCCCTAGTGGCGTGCTGTGAACAAACAGCGAAGAAGACGCCTGAATTTTACAACTTAATTTCGTCGACACGGGGCGAGAGAGAGAGATTTTTAGCAATACCAAACAACTCTAACACTCACACGTCATTTGGGGCCTGGAGCCCCTGCAGCCCTGTTCACGCGCGCGCGAGACGTACGTGCAGACAGGGTTGCCAATTCCATTCAGTGACTGTGGGAATAGTTAGGCAGGAGATTTTATTTATGTACAAGAACCGATCTAATCGACCTCTACTGCTCAGGTAGGGCGCGCGGCTGCGGGCGGGTGCTCTCCCCTGGAGGGGGCGGGTACGGCGCCCCAGCCGACGCACACTCGGGCGGCAGCCGTGCTAAGTAGTAGCACTTGCTAGCCTTACATCCCGGCGTGGTTACTCGAGTGGGCCTCTTCACTCTCTTGCCTCTACGGATGAGGGAATGTGAGGGACATGCACATGCGCGTTAAGAGAGAAGAGACGAGAAGAGAAGAGAGAGAGAGAGAGAGAGAGAGAGAGAGAGAGAGAGAGAGAGAGAGAGAGAGAGAGAGAGAGAGAGAGAGAGAGAGAGACATGCCACTCGCCACCGTGACACACATGCAAAGTGCGATCAGATGTCCGGGCCCGCCTTTGCCAGCCGCGCGTAGTAGACAGAGTGCGCCGTCGTGAGCGGGTGTAGGACCGGTTCCGTCGGCAGCCGTACGAGCGGCGGAGGGGCAGTGGGCGGAGGGGCGGGGGGCGGCGCCGCCCTCGCCGAGGTCATGCTCGGTTGGATCGGCAGCCAGCCGATGGGAATGGCATACGCGAAGGCTCGCAAAACGGGCGGCGGGTGGGAGGGCGGCAGCGAAGTGGTGGGCGAGAGCGGCGACGAGGGCGAGAGCGGCGACGAGGGCGAGAGCGGCGACGAGGGCGAGAGCGGCGACGACGGGTCCGGCACGCTGAGGATCAGCGGCCTCACGTGCAGCGGCGTCTGAGCGGTTTGCATCGTCGGCGGCGGCGCAGCAGCCGGGCCCGACGGACGGACGGCGGTGAGGAGAGAGGCGGCGCGCGAGAAGCCGGAGGTCTTCGCCGAGCACACGTGGCCCAGCTTAGGCTGCCCACATGCGGCGCAGCGGTTCTTGGCGAGGCCGAGGCGTCGCGCTTGCTGCCCGAGCTCGATTCTGAGGTAGCGGTTGCGAACGGAAGCCGGGCTGCGGTTGATGAGGCCGTCGGCGATGCGGCCCCATTTACGACCCTGCGGAATGGGGAGATGCAGGGGGTGAGAGACGGCGCGGGGCGGGATCTTCAAATACTTGGGCGAGAGTGATGGCGTTTCGACGGCGGCCGCGCCTCAAGTGCATACAGCTGGAGGATTTTGCGGTCCTCCTCCGGAGTCCAGGACGCCATGTTGTCGGTGCTCTTTTTACCGACCATGCTGGAGACGGGGGCGAGGTGGGTTGTGATGACCGATTCGCGGCATCCCCGACCGAGGCGAGGAACCCGCCGCGACAAGGAACTCACATGGCGGTGGATATTGGATATTCGGCGAGGGATTGCGTGGGGCGAGGGAGATTTGCAAGGGTTGACGCTCGCCTGTTGTTCTTCTTGCTCTTGTTGGCGCTGCTATTGGCGAGCAGCAAGGTGAGTGCTTCGGCGCTGTGTCTCGGCTTACAGCGACTCACCAACATTTCGCGGTCTCGTTCTAATGAGGATCGTCATTCGGAAGAAAGAACGTAGGATCCCTAGTTCGCGAACGTAGACTGTGGGGGCACGCGCGGCTCTTCCCGCCTTGGTCCTTGGTGGGCTGCTGGGGGAGGATGTCCGCGGGGCGAGGTCCGGCGAGAGTTCTGACCCGTGCTGACCCGTGCCGCGGGGTTAGTGTGTGTGGCTTAACCCGGTGAAACCCGCGCGAACCCGCGCTTACCGGCAGACTCACATAGAGTCAGAACAGGACGGGTCCCAATGTGCAAACACGCCAAGTAGGGCGCCGGCGCCCCAGCGTAGAGGGCCGTTTTTGGTATAACAAAAAACACGACGTGCGTCCACCGGCATCCTCGCTCCGGCCGACAAACTCCCAAACTGCTTGGCCCATGCTCGGCCCACCGATCAGCGCGGCTGCATCATTTGGCCTCAACGCCTCAACTCGCGGGCATGGACCCAAGGCAGGAGCTGTCTGGCGGGCCGGCGATTGCAACCGCGCCTTCCGGCGGATGCTCTCGCTCAGCCGGTTTGCGCCACGGGCGCTCGCCACGCCAAGCGGGCGGTTTGGTAGCCATTCTCCCAGATTCTCCGGAGAGGCCGGAAAAGTGGCCAAGGCGGCCTCCGCTCAAGGATCGCTGGGATTTTCTGGTGACTCAGGAAGGAGGGGTCTGCGCCAAATAAAAATCGGTTCCGTGCTGCCCGCCCCCGGATACGCCTGGCACAATTTATTAGAAGTCGGGGCTTCATCTTCCGCCCGAGAGAAAAATCCCTCTTGCCTCTCAGCCCACTATGCCATAGCCGCCGAGACGGCGCGCTCTGCTGACTCTCATCTAGCACCCTCTTGGGGCCTCTCCTGACCGCTGTGGGCCTCTCCAGACCTCCTCTTGCCTATGGGAGTACCCCTCTCAGTCTACTTCCTAGGACACAGGCACAGGTTTGCATAATGCGAGCTCTTTCTCAAGGGCTATAGTGCAGAGAAGAAATGCGCATTAACTCGCACCGGGGTGTACGCCGCCTCGGCTCTCGCTCCACGACCACGTGCTGGGAGTTCAAATGCAACACTCCGTTGCTCCCCTCCGGCGCAAAGGGCAATGGCTCTGCCCGCTGCGGAGGCGCCGCCTCCCGCGCCGATGGACACTTCATTGCGCTTGGCAACACTGAGGAGCACCTCTCCGTCGTCGTCCTTGGCCACCCCCAACGGGGTGACCCGGACACGGAGGAGCAACTGGACCGCGTCAGCGGTGACGGCTGGGTGGCAGCGAAGGACGGCGATTACGCTGACGCCCTCGCCAAGGGCCACACGGTCATCCTCCTCGTGACCGAGTCGACCGGAGCATTCTCCGCCGACCTCGATCGCGTCCTCCGCCAGCTTGCGAGGACCGCACGCGCTAGTGGGTCCATTGACCACACGCCGTACGGCACCTCTCGCGCGTCCACCCGCTCGCACTACACCTTTCACTCCGCCGCCATCTCCGCCGCCATCGTCACCGCCGACGCCCTCACCATTCAGAACTCGGCCGCCGCCCTCGGCTTCGAGCTCACCCTCGACCCTCGCGATCTCGCCCGGCGCTCGTCGGGTCGGCCGCCATTGCGGTCGGCGCCACCACCTCCTCCCGCCCCCCCCGCAGCCACTGCCGCGCGGCCGCCAATGCGACCGACCCCCCCCTCCTTCCCCGACCCCGCCCTAAACCCCGACAGCGAAGCCCGCGCCGCGCGCGGCACCACCACCGACTCTACCTCCGACCCCAGGGCCTAGGCGGCCCGCCATGAAATCTAGCACGTGTGTGCTGGCGTCCAAGTCCCAGCGGGTTTTCACGTAACAAGTACACACAACAGAGAGAGAGATGCGCTCTGCCTGCATGGTGGGACATAGTGTGTGTGTGTGTGTGTGTGTGTGTGTGTGTGTGTGTGTGTGTGTGTGTGTGTGTGAATTTCACTCTGTGTGTGTGTGTGTGTGTGTGTGTGTGTGTGTGAGTGTGTGTGTGTGTGTGTGTGTGTGTGTGTGTGTGTGTGTGTGTGTGTGTGTGTGTGTGTGTGTGTGTGTGTGTGTGTGTGTGTGTGTGTGTGAGTCACTCTCACTCAGTATAGAATTCCTGATTCTATACACAGAGCTGCCAAACATGTCTTCACGCACCCCATCTCCGAACGCACCCCCCCCCCCCCCCCGTCACCTGCGGAGGGTCGTCGCCGCCCCGAGTACTGGCTTGCTACCTACGTACCTTGACGCACTCCGAGGCGCAGATGATTGGCGGGCGCCGGTCGCAGCTCGAGGGACTCACCCGCTCACTCGTCCCCACGCACTCGCAGTAGCCCGAGGCGCCGCTCATGACCACCTTGTGGCACGCGCGGTCATTCTCCGGCTCGCGCTTTCCCGTCGGGCTGCATCCCCCCGTCTGACGCCACGAGACGCAGAGCTGCTCTCCCTGCTCGCGCGAGTGTCGCGGCCCGGCCGCGCCGCCCGGGGCGGGAAGGTCGCGCCGTCCTGCGCGCTCGTGCATGCCGCGCATCTCGTCGCTCGAATCGCCCCCTGCACGGAGCCGCGGGCCCTCGGCGATGGCGCCCGACATATCCACGGCGGCGCCGGGCCCGCGCCGGCCAGGCCGGCCCACCGGGCCGCCGCCGCCGCCGGCAAGCATCGCCGGCGCTTGGCCCCCGGGCAGAGCGCCGTAGCGCCCGGCCTCGGCCGATTCACGCCCAACCTGCACGCCGCAGCGGTCGTGGCAGTAGGACAGCGTGCACGAGTTGAAATGCGCGCGGCCGCCGCCCGCGCGATAGACGCAGCCCCCGCATCGCGAGGCCGTGCACCGCGTGAAGACCGTGCTGTGTGCCTCGAGCTCGTCGCCTTCGGGCGATTAGTTTATGTACACTTAAGATTAGTTTATGTACACTTAAGATTCGTTTATGTACAGATGCTCAGCAGTGGCTCGTCGCCTTCGGCGTAGACCCCGCCGCCGTTGAACGCCTCGCAGTTGCGGATCGCGCAGTTGGTCAGCACGAGCGTGCCGCGCGCGTGGATGGCGCCCCCGTGCTCGCCCCAGCCATCGTCACTACTGCCCATCGCCCGGCCGTTCTCAAACCGCAGCGTGTGCAGGGCGACGGCGGAGCCGCTGCCGGTGCGGAGGATCTGGACTCCAGCACCGTCCCGCTTCCCGCCGTCCAGCACCGTTCCGATGGGGCCCGTCGGGCCGCTTGACTCGCCGTGAGGATAGTACGGGTCCGCGTCCGCGTCCACCTCCTCCACCGCTTGGCCGTCGTCGCCGTCGCCGTCGCCGCCGTCGCCGCCGTCGCTGCCGTCAGCGTCGCCGGCTGGCGGCTGCTGCGCGCGCGGAGGCGAGCCGACCATCTGCACGGTGCCTTCGAGGGTCGGCAGCGGGCCCGCCACCGCGATGCGGCCGCTCCGCACACGGATGGTCACCGCCGTCGCCTTGCCATAGCGATTCGCCAGCTGCATCGCCGCCCGCAGCGTGCAGCCGGCGGCGGCGGCGGGATCGGCAGCCGCGACGTCGTCTCCGCCGGCCGTGCATGCTCCCGGCGAGGTGCTGTCCAGGCTGTCCGTCAGGCTGCCGACGAGGATGAAGACCGCGCGAGGAGCCGTGTTCGTCGTGATCGCCTCTCCATGCGGGTCGACGGTGTGCTGCTCAAAGGCGGGCTGCTCCGCGTCATGCGGCTCCGCATCAAAGGCGAGGAGCAGGGCGAGGGTGCACAGCATACAAGTGAGAGAGGGGCCTAGAGAACACAACCCCCTCTCTCTTTTCTCCCAGTAAGCTAAAAGTACGACGTACAAGCTAAAAGTACGTACAAGTGCGCACACTTAATGATTTTCGACCGACCGCAGGGAAACGCAGGGGCGCCCCCCCCCGAGCGGGATGGGGCTCGCTAGCCCCTCGGCGTGAAAGTGCGACCGAACTTCTGCTACACTAAGACACGGAACAACAATGACGACAGCGGACAGGCTCTCCGCACGGACCGTGCACACCAACCCGGAGCACGAAAACCCACACAAAGACCCTAAACGGACAGAAACAAGCACAGTCCGAGGCAAACCCGGTCGTCAGCGGGCGAGGCGACGGCATGCTAGATGCTTCCCTCGCCCTGCTGCTCGGTACCAACAACGCACCGTCCTCAAGATCCAAGGTGCGTCACACACACGGTCACACGACCGAGTCTCCGCAAAGGGTCCACCGTGGATGGAGATGGAGCGTGAAGTTGCATTCGTGAAGAGGAAAGGCTCAAAGCGAGCTGCTGGACCCCGCCATGGCCTCGTCGATGTGGCCGGTGCGCCCCTGCTTGCAGTAGAAGCAGACCTGCTCCGCCGGGTTCTATCTTCTTCTCCGTACAGCCCGGCGTAGTGCAGGTCACACTCAAGCACATGAAGGAGCTCTAGAGACGGCGTTTGTGCGAGCGAGGGGCGACGCGCGGGGGGATGCTCGAACGCAAGCGCAGGCATCATCGTCGGCAGCTGCATCGTCGTCTTCGACGGCCGCACCGCACCAGCACGGCGTCCCGTCGCTGGCCCTCTCGGACGTCGTCGCTGCTGGGCCGCCCTCGCTGGGGCGGCGGCCGAAGTGCAGGCATGTGTCCCCCAGCCCTGGTCCTACGCTTACATACGCCGCGCTGCCCTCGTGCACTCTCACTCGACCGGAAACCCTCGAAAGGGTGCGCATCGCAGGCGCCCCAGTGAGTTTGTCGTGACCAACGCCATGCGCGAGCAGAGCGCGCGGCGCGGTCTGCGGAGAGGCCTGGACAGACCGATTAGACGAGAGGGAGGCGTGTAATTGTGGCAAATTTCGGGCAGCGGGCGTGACTAAAGTTAGTGATTTGTACGATTGGAAGTTAGCGAAGAACGCAAACCAACCCTATCCATTCGAACCACATATGGACACGCTACTCAAGTACACGCTCTCATGCGGCTGCCTCTGAGCAGGTCTATTCCCTCACAGGATGGTGATGATGGCTCGTGGGCCGTGGGAGGGCCGCCGGCGCCCCTCCTTGCTTTGCGCAGCCTCTCTCGGAGCTCTATCTCTCTTGCCCGCAGCCGCGCCTTCGGCTGCCGCGGCTTCACCTCTGTGTGCCGCAGCTCCGCCTCTGTTCTCAGCCCCGCAACAACGAGACATGTCTGCCCCGTTTGTTTCGCCTCGCACAGCGATGCTCGCCTGCGTCCCTCCTCGACTTGCACAGCCACACCCGCAGCTCTGTCTCTCTCACCCGCAGCCGCTCCTTTGGCTGCCGCAGTCTCACCTTGGGCCGCAGTCTCACCTCCGTTCGCAGCACCGCCTCTGTGAGCCGCAACGATACATGTCTGCTTCAACATCCGTTCGCAGCCCTGCCTCTGCTGTGCCGGGCAAGCCCTGGCATCGGGGACCTGTACCTGTGACCGTTACTCCGAGAAGAGCGGGTAGCGCGCTGAGTAGCGGCTCTGTTGAGCACCACTTGTGCCGCGGTATGCGGTGAGTATTGCATATCAGTCGAGGGATACGAGGCTGCCCAGTTGAAGCTCTGCTTGAGCGCATCGACATCCCATGCACGGCGTGGAGTCCGTGTGGCTCGCCGGCTGTGATTGTGGGGAGCTCCCAGAGGAGGTGAAACATGTCGACGAGACGCTTGCGACGCCAGTGCAAGCATAGAAAGAGTAGCGCAGCGCAACATGTCCGAGAGTAGCGCGCGGCCCTCAACCGCTGCTCTTGACGTTGTCATCGTCAATTCGGTCGCGTTCTCCGGTGTGTGTTGACCGCGCTTGTTCTGCTTTGTGGCTCCGCGCTTCCGCCATATTGCTGTAGCTGTCGAGTGCGACGCATGTCAGGTTCGACCCGTGAAGTCTTCGCCCTGTGTTTTATCGGCCGCAGTAAGATTTCGGAACGTCCAAGATGTCCGCCTGTCGAAGCGTAAAAGTAACTCTGCCTTTGAATTCTTCTAAATCTCAGCATTCTTTCTCTTCTTACTTCTCTCTACTGATATACTATTGGTATACTATCGCAGTGCTATTAGCAGTGCTACGCACTGCAATAGCCCAAAAAGACGCTCAGAAACACGGTCGGGCGACGTTTAAGGGCATTTTTGGACGCCGCAAACGAAAAACATCGAAATGTCGGAGTTGGAGATTTATGACGACGCCGACCGACGCATTGCGATTGCAAACACAACGGCCAAGACACGAACGGTTGACGACATCGTGCTGGCTGCAAGTGAAGAAATGGATGGGACTAGAGAGGACAGAAGCGGCCATTGATTTCAGTTTCGTCACTGACTGATGATCCTTCTGACAGATTGACTGATTGACAACCTCGATGCATCTCCGAGATTGAAACCGGGAGGGGAATAATCAGAAGGACGGACTGTTGGTCGGTCCGTGATTGCCTTCATATAAAATGCAAGAACGTCCTCATATCTGCTTTCCGGAAAAAGGACAACTCATCAACGCTGATCCCGTTCGCTTTGTCCGCCCTTGGAGTGCCCTTCTTCACCAGCATGGTCGGCCCCTTCAAGATGGCATGCTTCGGCCTTCGCTCGCTTCGCTGGACACCTGCGCGTGTTGAGCGACACATTCTTCTTGCACAAACTTGCTCGACATGCACCGCGACCCATTCCGCCTGCTGGAGGCTGCTCTCGGACGCTCAAGCGGCGCCAGCCAGCGACTCGGCCGCGCATCCTTCACACACGCCGCCACGACCGGGATGAGAGGGACCAGTGTCGAGTCATGGTACGAGCTGCATGTGAGGGGCGGCTGTGGACACAGCAGGTCCACCAGATGGATCTCAAAGCTTGCCGTCGGCGTGCTGTCGTGGGGAGAGCCCGAGACAGCTGCAGAGGAGCCGAGTGCAGTGGCGAGCCAGAGGCTACCTGGGTCACCAAGTGGTAGCCCTTGCCCATTCTGAGCAGGGCTGTGCTTTGGTGGGGTTGTGCTTGAGCATGTGTGAAGTGGGAGTGCGTGCCGGCGGTGTCTGTGTGTGGGTGAAACGGGCGTGTATGAGGCCGTAAGAGCCGTTGTATGAGCCATAGTGGGCTTCATCACCCAAAATAAGGACGGTTTGGGAGAGCTCAGACTTGATACTGATGGGCCTGGGCCAGGAGAGCGACAGAGATGGCGAGGTGGTGAGCTGGGAAGCCGCTTCGTCGGCACCTGGACGTGTCGCGATGAACTGCCGAAAAGCACCTTTTGCGGCTATTGCTCAGGCAGTTCATACTATTTGCGGCTATTGCTCCGTGTCCGGGACGTGTCGTGGAGGGAGGATCGGAGCAAGCACAAGGTCCAAGCAAGGAGGGGGGGGAGGGTGGGGGGGGGGGGGGGGCGTCCAAATGCAGCCCTTGGAGTGCCCGCTGGAGTCCACAAATGCAGCCCTTGGCGGACGGAGTTGAAGCGGCTTGCGTGATTTCCTGAGAAACCGAACGCGGAAGGCTCGCGCGTCGCGTGTAGTGTAACACACCCCGCCGCACACCGCGCGGGCTGATCGACTCCAACAAGCTCCTCATTGACATTGTGCAGCTGAGCCACTAAACGGCGACCGAGCTGCGAAACAACGGCGTCCACACCGGCCGCCGCTCGAGAAGCCCCAAAATTTTCTTCGGCGCTGCGCGCCGTACCATAAGGGACCCCGTTGTCCGTTTGACATCAGACTTTTTTTGAGTTGGAGGTAATAATTAAAAGGATTGCACTGTCCCAAAGAACTGATTCATTCATTTCACCCTCACATAGTAACAATACCTCAAAGTTGAAAACCTCCAAAATAGGCCGTCAGGACTCTGTCAGGACTCCGTCAGGACTCTGTCAGGACTCTGTCAGGACTCTGTCAGGACTCCGCCAGGACTCCGCCAGGACAACCACTGCCCCCCCGCTGTGAACAGAGCCCTTAGCTAGAGAGTAGGGAGGGGTGTACAGTCGAGTTACTCCCGAGGGCAGGGACGGCCCTCCACTGAGGGAAAGGGCGCAACGGGGACGGTATGCTCACAACCCAGCCACGCAGCTCTTTGCTCGCGTACAGCCAACGAGTTTGCTGGTCCACAGGCAGGCCAGGCCGTGAGCGTGGGCCGGTCGGGCCTGATCCTGCGGTGAGCACTGGAGGGCTATGCGGCTCGCTCCGTCAGCCGACTTGCGCCGTCGAGCGGTCGAGCGCTTCGGGTTGGACCCGCGGGAGGGTCCCTGCGCGGCTGACATGGCCAGCCAAGCCGTGTGCGCTGCCGTGGGCGCTGTCGTGGGTGCTGCCGTGGGTGCTGCCGTGGGCGCTGCTGTGGGCGCTGCCGTGGGCGCTGCCTCGGTCAGCAGTCGGTCAGCAGTCGGTCAGCAGTCGGTCCGCTGCTCGGCGCTGGCCTGCAGGCCGCCGGTGGCAAATCGGGGGGGCGCGGGCCATGGACGTCGTGGCCGAGCTTTGCTGCCTTCTTGCACGTTGCCGGCTGTAACGTTGCCTGCACCATGGCCGCGCCTCTCTTGCTTGTGCGCTTTCATGGTCGAGCCGAGTGGCGCGAGAGCGAGCGTGATTTCTTTTGTCTGTCAGGACTCTAAGTTTCTGTCTGGACTCTCAAGTTTCTGTCAGGACTCTCAAGTTTGCTTGTCAGGACTCTCAAGTTTGCGTCAGGACTGCCCCATCAGGACGATTCCGCAGAGGGCGCGCACGGTCGAAAGGGGGGCTGGGCGTCTATCATTCACTGCTGGGGGGGAGGGGAAGGAGGGTTGCAGTGAAGGAAGGTGGAGGTCTCGTCGGAGGCACTTGTGAGCACTGTGAAGACCGTGCGCCGTCAGGACCCCGCCAGGACTCTGTCAGGACTCTGTCAGGACTCTGTCAGGACTCTGTCAGGACTCTGTCAGGACTGTCAGGACAGGTGCGGGAGGTCCACAAACCAGGTTTGGAATCGGCAGTAGGGCTTGGGCGGCGCAGCGTAGGCCTCGAGCCACACGAGTCGCGACAACCCCCCTCATCGACGTGATGGCCGCACCCGCTGCCGGCCGATGCAAGCTGCCGCCTCCACCGCACCAGCGATACTGGCCGCGGCTCGCCGCCACGCGCCGGCTCGGAAGAGGGGCTATCGGCGGCGCAGCAGAGCGGCATGCGTCGTCATTCGAGCAGCACCAGGTCCCCTCTTCGACGTGACGGCCGCTCCCGGAGCCGGCCGGTGCGCGCCCGACCCACGCACGTGCATGGTGGGACATAGTGTGTGTGTGTGTGTGTGTGTGTGTGTGTGTGTGTGTGTGTGTGTGTGTGTGTGTGTGTGTGTGTGTGTGTGTGTGTGTGTGTGTGTGTGTGTGTGTGTGTGTGTGTGTGTGTGTGTGTGTGTGTGTGTGTGTGTGTGTGTGTGTGTGTGTGTGAGAGAGAGAGAGAGAGAGAGAGAGAGAGAGAGAGAGAGAGAGAGAGAGAGAGAGAGAGAGAGAGAGAGAGTGGCTACCCAACGCGGCCAAAGGATATCCACCTCGAGAACCTCGAGAGAGAGTCACTCTCACTCAGCGAAAGACAGCGCGGCCTGTCCCCCCAACCTTTGTGCCGCTGCTCAATGATAGTGGCTGTTCCTGGCCTGCCCCACCTCGTCACGCAACGCCACCGTGCCGCTGCTCAATGATAGTGGCTGTTCCTGGCCCGCCCCACCTCGTCACGCAACGCCGCCGCACCGCAACGCTCTTCGTCAAGTGCATCGCATTCGCCGGCACCGCTGCGCTGCTGCTTCAGCGCGACCAAGCCTTCAACCATTGGGGCCGGCCGAAACGGTCGCCGTCGAAGGTGAGCCTCTGCACATTCAGATGTTTGCCATCGGAGACGCCAAACATCTCTCCGGCGGAGTGGGAGGCGGCCAAAGCTGCGGAGCAGCGTCGGGCCGGGCTGGAGCATAATCGAGCCCAGACCAAAGGCGACAGCTGGGGCGGTGGCGTCAGCTTCTTAGACAGCGGGCCTCTCGAATGCGGCCGATACGACGCCGACGACTGCAAGGCCGCGTACCGGAGCGGCAAGGACAGGGGCACGCTCAGCAACTTTTACGCCCGCTGTCGGAGCGAGCACGGCTCTCAGCCACTCCGTAGCCGCTGCACTCTCTGCTGCACCGGCGAGAATGCGCGGTGGGCGGTCGTCTCGCCATCGCCGCCGCCACCGCCGCGCCCTCAGCCGCCCCCTCCGCCATTCACCTTTTGCTCGCAGCACGCAGTCAAGGCCTCGGCTGACTCCAACTTCGGCACGCGTGGCACGGGGCGGAGAGAGAGAGAGAGAGAGAGACGTGCACCGCGTTGTAAAACCATCTCCACCATGCGATCAGGCGGCAAGTGGGACGTGCGCATGGCGACGGGCGCCCCGACCCTTCCCGGCGGCTGCCGCGCGGGCAAGCCGGGCTCCTGGGCGCCCCGGCACAAGGACTTGTCGGCGCACAAGCTGCGCGTGACCTTTGCTGCACCCGCGCGCGCCAACCCCCACCCCAACCACAGCCCTCTGTGTCATTCGCAGCGTCCTCTCGCCCTCGCCCTATTTCATAGTCGATGATGCGCACAGCCTGTGAACGACCATCCCCTCACTCTCTCACTTGTCGAGGTGTGCAGGCGCGCGCCACCCGCATCACCATCTACGAGCACGCCAATCCCCCGTCCGCCGCCGGCTTTGTGCGGAGCGTGACGCTGGTCGCGCCGTCGGGCGCCACCCACGTGGTGTGGTCTGGAGTCGACATGACCGGGTGCGGTGGGGCGCTGACGGTGCGCTGGCAGCGACACACGCTCCGCCCCTCGGAACACTCCCAGTGCGCTGCCGTGAGCGCAAGGCAAGCGCCCGGTGATGACACTAGGTCCCGCTCGACTCGTCGGCTGGACTCGTTAGCTCCCTTTTGCAACGGGAGCAGCTTCGTTTTAGGTCCCGCTCGACGGCTCGTTTGTCGCGTCTGCGGCGATCATTGCTACGCGAACCTCTCAGCACGCTTGGGAGTATGTAGATGCCGTCCGGCTGGATGGCTGGGCGGCGGGCGGGCAGTGCTTTGGCAGCAGGCGCCACTAGGCGGCCAATAGGCGGCGGGCAAATAGATGGAGCCATTGTGGTGCTTGTCGGGTAGCCGGCCTCACGCAAAAAAAGATACGCACGAGAACGAACGAGCTGTCTGCTGTAAAATTCGCATGCGACAGAGGGTTTCGTAGGCAAAGTCTTTTTACCGCCCTCAGGCCCCGCCGCTGTGGTTAGGCAACCAAGACTCTGTGACTTGCTGGTCCCTTCCCCCACGACGAGTGTGAGGCACGCACGATGGAGGACGAGCTCGAGCTGCTCGGCGCGATGTTCAGCAGCGACGAGGACGAGCTTTTCGTCGAGCGGCCGACGGGTGGCGGCGCGACGATCTCCGTCCGCTTGCGCCCGTCAAGCGGCGGCGAGCAGCAGAGGAGGCTCATGGAGGCGACGCTTGCGCTTGAGCTGTCGCAGGCGTACCCCGAGTCCGCGGCGGTGTGTCGCCTCTCGCGCTCCCGCGGCATGGTCGGCGACGAAGAGGCAGCGCTCCTCGCCGCTCTCACCGCGCTTGCCGCGGAAGCGGCGTCGAGCGGCGAGCCGTGTGTGTATGCGCTTGTCGAGGCGGCGATCGAGAAGCTCACCGACGGAACGCCGGGGGAGACTGCCCGATCTGCCGCGACGACCTCTTTCCGCGCGGCGCAGCGCCGCCGCCGCCGACCTACGTCTCTGCCTGCTACCACTCGTTCCACTGTCCTCTCTGCTGAGTCGAGCTGCCCGGCGGCTGAGGTGGCATGCTCAGAGGAGAGGCCACGAGTAGGCGTCTGTCTCGGCGCCTGGTGGCTCGCCGCGCCGGCGCCAAAGGCGGACGCCGCCGCCCGCACTTTAGCTGCCTCTCGGCTGCCTCTCAGCTGCACCTCGGCTGCCTCCCGGCTGCCCCTCGGCTGCACCTCGGGCTAGTGCCATTTCACTGTGGCACAGCTCGCGTTACAAAACCTTGATTTGACCATTTGCGCAAAAAGGTACATCTCGGTGCCTTCCAGAGGCAGCTGCGACCCCGCCGAGTAGACGGCTGCACACAGCAGGTGGCGCGGTGTGCCGCCGTCCACTCGGCGGGGTCGCAGCTGCCTCTGCGCGTCCTGGGGATGTACCTTTGTCGCGCGCCGGAGATGACTCGACGCCGCTGAGATCGGAGATCAAGCTCTGACAGGTCGCACGTCGCTCCTTTGACGCCGACGTGACTCACCCGTGCAGATCACATCAGGACACGGTATCGACGCGCTCGGTACGACGCCTGCGACCCGTCTCGGGTCAGGTGGCACGACGCTCATCGCGCCTGCCAGCGCTGCCGTGCAGGTTGCCACGACGAGGTCGAGCACGCTTCTATACGCTCGCCCAGCCTTCCTTTCCATCCCATTAGGCAGCCTGGGAACGGTGGCGATCAGAGGCAAAGCCTACGAGGGGTGGTGGAACCACATGTCACGGCCACCGCCGGCTCGACGCCACGATAGCCTCCGGAGGCTGACTTTGCGGCACCATCATCGGACGATGTCGACGAGTTGGGTCGCTCTCGCGGTAGCCAGATGACCTCTCATACTAGGAGCATCGGCCATGGCCGCAGGGAGCGCGGGGGAGGGCGCTGGAAGCAACACGGAGCTCCGTTGGAGACGTTTTCAAGATTAGCGTGTCAGAGTGAAATGGCACTAGCCTCGGCTATCTCTCGGCAATCTCTCGGCTATCTCTCAGCTATCTCTCGGCTGCACCCTGCCCGCTCACGCATCTAGCTGCGGACAGGCGGACGCCGCCGCCCTGCCCTCGGCGGCGCAGCGGCACGCGTCGGCTGCGCGCGCTGCGGGGGCGGACGCGCAGCAGCTGAGCGCGAAGCTCGCCGCCGCCGCCGCCGCGGAGAGCGAGTACTTGGGCGAGTAGGCCGTGCGGTCAACGCTGCCGCGCGCGACTTTGCGCGCGAGGCGGCGCAGCTTGAGAACGGCGCGGTGGGCGAGAAGCCGCCGCCGAACGTCTCGTGGAGCAGCAGGTTGAAGTTGTTGCGCTTGACAAAGATCGCGTCGTGGTAGAAACCGCGATGCGCGCCTTGACGTAGCCGTGGCCGGTCTTGTGGGAGAAGGGTTGGCCGGGCTGCCCGCGCGCCTTGCAGCCCATGTTTAGGCGGCGGGCCTTCTCTTCGGTGTTGCCAAAGGCGTAGGAGTGGCCCACGGAGGCGGGCGTGCCGCCACTCGAGGCGTTGCCAGCGCCCGTCGAGGAGGTCTTGAGGAGGGGCGTCCAGAGCTTGATTTCAAATTTTCATTCAGGCTAGTTCCATTTCACTCTGACACGCTAATCTTGAAAACGTCCAACGGAGCTCCGTGTTGCTCCCAGCGCCCTCCCCCGCGCTTCCTGCGGCCCTAGCCGATACTACTAGCATGGGAGGTCATCTGGCTACCGCGAGAGCGACCCAACTCGTCGACATCGTCCGATGATGGTGCCTCCAAGTCAGCCTTCGGAGGCTATCGTGGGGTCGAGCTGGCAGTAGCCGTGACATGTGGTTCCACCACCCCTCGTAGGCTTTGCCTCTGACCGCCACCGTTCCCAGGCTGCCTAATGGGATGGAAAGGAAGGCTCGGCGAGCGTATAGAAGCGTGCTCGACCTCGTCGTGGCAACCTGTACGGCAGCGCTGGTAGGCGCGATGAGCGTCGTGCCACCTGACCCGAGACGGGTCGCAGGCGTCGTACCGAGCGCGTCGAGACCGTGTCCTGATGTGATCTGCACGGTTGAGTCACGTCGGCGTCAAAGGAGCGACGTGCGACCTGTCCGAGCTTGATCTCCGATCTCAGCGACGTCGAGTCGTCTCCGGCGCGCAACAAATGTACCTCCCCAGGACGCGCAGAGGCAGCTGCGACCCCGCCGAGTGGACGGGCGCACACCGCGCCACCTGCTGTGTGCGCCCGTCTACTCGGCGGGGTCACAGCTGACTCTGGAAGGCACCGAGAGGTACAATAGTGCGCAAATGGTCAAAATCAAGGTTTTGTAACGCGAGCTGTGCCACAGTGAAATGGAACTAGCCTCACTTCATCGCATCCTCCCGGCCCAGCGTGGGGTTCTGCGAGGTCGACCTTGTACCCCTCGTTGTACTGCCGGGTGAGCTCTGGTTTCTCCTTGTTTTGTGTTTGTTTGCGAGAGTGGGACGACCGCGAGGTGTGGCATGAAGGTTGCAGCGAGAGTCGGCGAGGGACTGCGAAGGGAGATAGAAAGAGGCAGACGACCAAGGGTTAGGGTGGGCGACGGCTAGCACCACACTCCTCTCCTTAAAATCCCTGTGTGGTGGCGGCGTGCCGTCCTCCCATCCCTCCCTTGGGTTGTCTGTTTTCTTTCTTTCTTTGGGGCGAGACGATCGAGGGGTCCCGTACCATGCGGAACCCTAAAATGAAAGAAAACAGACAACCCAAGGGAACCCTATTCAGCGCTCAAGTGGACAATAAATAAATTCTCTCTTTTCAACGTTCCATAGACCGGGGATCACACCGTGTGTGTGTATCGCGCGCCTTGCGGGGGGGGCGCGGAAAAGAGGAACCTCTTAGCGCCATCGCCACGGTGCTGCAAGCAGCGCCGGGCGACGACGGCTTACCGCCGGCACACCTCCGCTGCTTAAGGTTTGACGACTCGAACCCGTGAAGCTTCCCCGTGCGCGGGTTACCCCGCACGCGGGGCAGCCTGCCAGCCACGTATCCACGCAAGCGTGGTCCGCGCGCATGGCATACAGGCGTTCGCCAGACAGCGCAGAGGCTAGGCGACCGGGGAAGGACTAGCTCAAGGGCAACACAGCGTCTTCAGCCGTTGGCGCGCAGAACGAGTCTGCGGTCCCCGGTTGGGACGAGTGCGCGACGCGGAGGACGAACCGCTCAATGTGGCCGGCAGCTCGCGCTGCCGGCGGGGTTGTTTGGGAGGACCGGCACGGGGAAGGCCGGCCTCCCCGGAGGGGTCGCCCCCCGGAGGGGCCCCAACGGGCCCCCCGGGGGGGCGGGGGCTCCCGCCCCGAGGGGCGGGGGCAGGTTCGTCGCCTAGCGCGATGGAGCCAACCCTTGTTGCCAAGTCGGCGAGCGTGTTGTGTATCGAGAGAGAGACCATAGCAGATGCGAGAGCGGCGTCGTCCGGGGAGAGGGGTGGGGGGGGAGGGTCAACATCGAGGGCAGGTACGCATCGCGCTCCCCGATCGTCTCCGATCTCCCTCGCCTGCTCGCTCGGCACGTAATCGGACCATATCGCTCGAACTCGTGGGGCACGGCGAGGGTTAGCGACAGGTGCGGCTTCAGGGTCGGTGTCGGGAGAGGGGTGGCTGACGGGGCTGGCTGGGGCTGTAGCCATTGGTGCAGCAGGTCCACAGTCGGCGTCGCTATCATCTTCCCTCCCGAGTCCTGGCCGCCGCCTGTCGCTCCGTGTCCAATGGTACTGCTGTCGCCCCTCTCCGCGTTGCTTCCCTCGTCGGGAGTGTCCGTCGGGATGGTGTCGTCCGCCCACTCGGCAGCGTTTGAGCCTCTGTCACCCTGCCTGCCGCGAGCAGCTAGCTCGTCGACGTAGTCGTTCCATTTGTTGCCGCTGTGACCCTCCACATGCCTCCACGTCACGGTGTGTTTGGCGCGAAGGCGTTGCCAGAGGGAACGAAGGCGCTCCGCCAGCTGTCTGTTCGCTTTGGGGGTCACCTAAGGGATGCCGCAGGTCGCACCTCCATCGCCACGGTGCTGCATGCAGCGCCGGGCGACGACGGCTTACCGCCTCCCGGTCCCCCTCGGCACACCTCCGCTGCTTAATGTTTGTTCACCATTCTCAACCCATTTAGCATTTTGCCTCATGGACCGGGTTTCCGAAAGTTGTCAGCCGCGCTTCCGCGCGCGTCCTCCCGAGCTCCTGCCCTGCCCGCCTCATGGCCCTGCCATCCCTGCTGCCGTGGGCGCCACCGCCATCACTCCCGCCGACGCCACTCCGCGTCACTACTGAGGGATGCCCTTGCCGGAAAGAGTGGAGCAACTCCTACGTCCTCGTCACCGATTACTGCGGCAATCCCGACAACGACGTTGACGAGTGGTGCTTTGTGGTTACTATCGGCTGCCAGGGGCGTAGTTGGGGCTATTGTGCCCCACTAGCTCTCGACTTCCCGCTCCCTCCTCAGCGGCCACCGCCGCCGCCGCGGGTACTGTCGTCACCACCGCCGGCACCACCGTCGGGCACGCCCCTGCCATCTGTTGTGCGCATCACTGTTGAGGGCTGCGAGTGCCAGAGGGATTGGCAAAGCCCCGGAGGCACCTGGGTCACGAACTACTGCGGCGACCCCGATGGCGAAGGCGGCGGTGATTGGTGCTATGTGACAGCGAGAAGTTGTCAGAGCCGCGACTGGGGCTATTGCGGGGTGGCAACACCGCAAGCGTCTCGGCGGGCGCACCACACGTGGGATGGATGCAGCGCTGCTCAGCTAAGGGGTGGCCCCTGTTTAGTAGTAGTAAACGACTGCTGCTCAGCTAAGGGCCGGCCTAGTAGCGGGCAACTGTAAGCGCCCCTGTGCAAACGCCGCCAATGGTCTGCATTCCGGACCCGGCCGGCTGCCACAACGCCGAGGTTTCGCCTGCGCAGGTGACTTTGATGTCGACGGCGTGTTTACCCTCAACGACGCAGTGCACGTGGCGGCGCACTGGTCCGAGATGGGCCAGCCGCCGGGCGTCGCTAACTGCGTGGGGGGCAACCTCGATGGTCGCGGCGACGGCTTCACCCTCCAGGACGCAATCTTTGTGGCGAGCGTCTGGGCGGGGCAAGCCAAGTTTGTGTGGGATGCGGTGGCGCGGTGATTCGTCTCGCTCACGCCCCAGACAAACCGCGGGCCGCGCTCTCCTCCGCTTAGGCTCAGACGACACCGCTCTTGTGTGTTCTCGTGTAAGCAGTAAGGAGGTAACCGCTCGTTGAGCGGCCTCCTCACCCTCAGCCCCTTCACGCTTTCGTTAAGAATTCTTATTCCCGCCCTTGTGCGTTTGTGGTTTGTTCGCTCGGCCATTGGGAGAGCCGAGCACGGCTTTATCCTTTATTGTCTTTCGGAGAGGGGCCTTCGACTTTATCTTTCCGCTCGTTTTATCTCTCTCTCCCGACTGCGACTCCCGCCGGTGCTCGCACCTCCGGCTCCGCCCACACACCGCCGTGCAGCCGCAGCGCACACGCCACAGCCCGACAGAGCGTCAGAGCTCGCTCGGTCGGGACGGTCGCCACTCATACGTATAGAGTACAGTACATCAAAAACCGCACGACTCTCGCCCTCCATGGTGGCATGGGCCCCATGACGCTCGGCTCGAGCACCAGAAAAAAGGGCAATGGTGCATGGCCAACCCCTGCCTCTGCTTGGGCCGCGGGGGCGGTGCTCCACATGCCTCTCTCCTCACACACGCACACACTCATGGGCCCCTTTTACTCGCGAGCTCCGCGCGGGCCTGCAGCTCGCCAGCGAGCAGCGTGTCCTCGATCTTTTGCCCGAGCTCGTCCAGCGTGGCGGCCCCAGCGGCAGCCCCTGCCTCGGCGGCGCCCCTCTCCTTGGTCTCCTGGAAGGAGCCCTCGATCGCCTCGACAGGCACCGCCCCAAGCACCGCCTCCTGCGCCAGCTTCCCCACGCGGCCGAGTGTATTGCCCACGACAGCGTCCACGACGGTGCCAGTGCCTCCGATCACCGCGGCGCGGACCTTGAAGCCGCCCTTGCCGTCCTCCTCGAGCCCCTCGAGGGTCCGCTTGGCGTCCTCCTTGGCGTTGTTCGCCTGTGGGAGGCGAAGGTGTAGCCGAGTCGATGCCGCGGGCGGCTTCGGGTGGCTTGCCAGCGGCTGCGTGCTCGGTCGCGACACCAGGCAACGATGGCGGGGCACGTAAGCGGGGGTGCTGGGAGCTGGGCGGCGCAACGGGCGGCGGCGCGGCGGGCGGCGATGGCGAAGGCGTGCCGCGGCGCGAGTGGATGCACGCCGCTCGTGGCGCGAGTGGATGCGCGCGCGTGGCGGCGAGGCAATGCGACGAGGACGAGCGGGCGTGCAGGTCAGCGAACGCAACTGCAATCTACGTCCTGCAGTCCGGGCTTTATGTGCTGGTCTGTGGCCTCGTGTCGGCTCCCAGAGCAAACGGTGCGCAGCGTGCGTGCGTGCGTGTGCGCCCGTCGTTTGAGCTAGGGCGTGTGTAAGACCGACGGGCGGACTGTCAGGGAGGGCGGCGGGGGGCGGGGAGGGGCGCCGCGCCCGTGTGATCTCGTGCAATCTCGTGCAATCTCGAGCAATCTCGAGCAATCTCGTGCCTTTGTGATCGCGCCCACGACGACGAGCGTCGGGCAAGGCGACTTGGGCTGGTTGGCCGGCGCCCACGACGCGCCCGTCACGCGGGAGGAGTGCCTATTAATTAGTCATTAATTAGTAATTAACTAGTAATTAATAATTAACGCGCCCGTCACGCGGGAGGAGTGCCTATTAATTAGTCATTAATTAGTAATTAATAATTAACGCGCCCGTCACGCGGGAGGAGTGCCTAGTCTCCCACTCTGAGAGGTGGAACGAGAGAAGGGGGGGCGGGCGGGCGGGGGGCTTCCCCCAGAGCCCAGAAGCGGCGACGGCGGCGGCGGTGAGAGAGGGGGCGGCGACGGCGGTGTGTGGCGATGGCGGGGGCCGGCGGCGGTGGGGGTGGTGTAGCTTGGGCGGGCGGGCGGGCGGGCGGGCGGGTGGGGGGTGGGGGGTGGGGGGTGGGGCGTGGGCGGCGCCCGGTGGGGGGAGAGGTGGCAGCGGCGACGGCGGGGGTGGTGAGGGTCGGCGATGTGAGAGAGGGGCGTCTCGAACGCCTCCACAGCTCTTGCGACATCTCGAGGTCAAAGGAGGGCTCGACCTCGTAGATGCTCGCCCACTGCGCGCGCGCGCGGTCGGCGCCGGCGTCGCCTCCGGTGATCGCCACCGCCGCCGCCGCCGCCTCCGCCGCGGCGTCGCCCTCTTTCCACGCCCAGTGGCCCGACTTGGAGCAGCGCACGTCGTGCGCTGCCTGCAGCAGCCGCCCGCCCGCCTGGGCCGTCGACACCGCCTCCGCCTCGCCCGTGAGGCCGTCCGCGTGCATGTCCTGGCCTGTCGCGGACGTGTCGCGGACGTGTCGCGGACGTGTCGCGGGCGTGTCGTGGGCGTGTCGTGGGCGTGTCGTGGGCGTGTCGTGGGCGTGTCGTGGGCGTGTCGTGGGCGTGTTCGTGGGCGTGTCGTGGGCGTGGGCGTGTCGTGGGCGTGTCGTGGGCGTGTCGTGGGCGTGCCATGCGTGGGCCGGGGAAACGCAACGCTCTGCGGTTGGTGAGGCGGGGAGAGGGGAGTCTCGGCAGTGCCCCTCGCCAAAGCCGATCCTCCGCATCGTATCGGAAGTGTCTCGGCAGTGTCTCGGCAGTGTCTCGGCAGTGTCTCGGCAGTGTCTCGGCAGTGTCTCGGCAGTGTCTCGGCAGTGTCTCGGCA